TATGAGTCGGGGCCGACTCGATGGCACATAACAACAACAATAACAACCAGCCTAAAAGTTGGCAGTTCAAACCAACCCACCTATGCTGTGGAAGCAAGTCCTGGTAATCAGCTTTCATGATGATTCCAACCAAGAAAGCCCTATGGAGCAGTAGCAGTTCTACTTTGTAAAACATGAGTCACCATGAGTTGGAACTGACTGGATGACCATGAGTTTGGTTTTTGTTTTTGATGATGGGAGCAGATCCTATTTCCTACCTATAAAAAATGCAGAAATAATGTTAAGAAGATAAAATGATAGCTTCTTCCCAATGAAAAAGACATGATGATGTAAGCTGGAGAATCTAAGATAGTGGCTTCTTGACTTGATGACAAGAGCACAAGCCTGGCATGTACTTGGGCTCCATAATATTTGTTGAAGAATGAATGAATGGACAAATTGTATCAGTGGCTTAAACCTTTGGCTCACTTAGGCATGACCCTGCATTACCAGGAGTAACAAATGATATGTCTGCAAGAAGCAATGATTTCCTTTCTTGAACTCACATTTAAAGATTAAGGATGTCTTTTAAACATCATATCATTGTAAATTCCTAGGGCTACAAGCAACTTTCACAAGTCTACAATCAAATTTTCTAATCTATCTTTTCAAATATCTTTACCAAATTTTGAGATGCCCCTACATACTACCTAAAACTACTTAAAAGTTAATCACTCTTCTGGACAGTGGGAGGTACATCATTTAAAAAAAAAAAAAAACTTAATGGGGAAAGAAAAAAGATAAAATAAGATCACAGAAGTACACAGAACCTGGCAAGTAGGAAACCCTCAATAAATAGTAGCTTGTATTGTTAGTAGGGAGCTCTGGTGGCATAGTGCCTAAGGCATTTGACTGCTAGCCAGAAGTCTGGCAGTTCAAACCCACCAGCCACTCCTCAGAAGGAAGGTTGGGCAATCTACTTCTGTAATGATACTGCCTCGGAAACCCAAGGAGGGGTCGCTATGAGTTGGATCTGACTTGGCACTGCGTTTCATTTTGTATTGTTAGTATTAGGTATCAGCTTGACAGCTTTGATTTAAAGTCAATTTGAAATGTAATTCTTTAAGGTTGGCAAACATTTGATGTCTTCACAGTATGGCATTGGAAACTGCATCGTGCAAGGTAGTGTTGAAAGGCATTGAGGGTTCCAGCATATCTGAGTTGAAATCTTAACCTTCAACACTCCTTACATGTAACCTCTCTCAGTGTCAACTTACTTATCTATTCCAAAGGTTTTTGATTCTCTGAATACAAAGTAACCACTTGCTGGCAGATCTTCACTAAATGGTAGGTATAATTATGATTGGAGTCCCTGGGTGATGCAAATGGTTAATTCACTTAGTTACTCAGCAAAAGGTTGGAGGTTTGAGTTAACTCAGAGGCACCTTGGAAAAAAGGCCTGGTGATCCACTTCTGAAATATCAGCCATTGAAAACCCCGTGGAGCACAGTTCTACTGTAACACATATAAGGTCACCATGAGGCAGAATCGATTTGATGGGAATATATTTTATAATTACAATTATGATTATGAGTAGTATTTTCTGGATATCTTGGCTTGGATCCTCCAAAGGCAGAGCCTGAAAATAAGACTTGCATGGACATAACTTATTTGGGAAGTGATCCCAAGGAGGAGAGGTGAGGAAATAGGAGAGTTGAAAAGAAAAGGAGGGAAAACTAATACAGGTTATTAAGCCCATCTCTTCAATCCACCCAAACTCAGCAGGTCAAGTAGTAAAATCCTACCAAGGGCCAGAAACAAAAGAGAAATGGAAATACTTAGCAAGTATAAAAAGGTCAATGATCCAAATAGACATTTCTCCAAAGAAGAAATATAAATGGTCGAAAAACACATGAAAATACATTCAACATCATTAGTCATTGTTGTTGTTGTTATGTGCCATTGAGTCAGACCTGACTTGTAGCGACCTCTCCTTGAGTTTCCGAGGCAGTATCACTATGGAAGTAGATTGCATTTTTCTTTCTGAAGAGTGGCTGGTGGGTTTGAACCACCAGCCTTCTGGTGAGCAGTCAAGTGCCTTAGGCACTACACTACCAGAGCTCCTCATTTGTCATTAGGGAAAAGCAAATCAAAACTGCAGTGAAATACCATTTCACAACCCACTAGAAGAGCTATTATCAAAACAATGGAAAATAACAAATATTGGTGAGGATGTGGAGAAATCAGAACCCTCGTGAATTGTTATGATTGTAAATGATGCAACACCTTTGGAAAACAGTTTGGCAATTCCTCATTATGATTAATGTAGAAGTACCATATGACCAAGCAATTCCACTCTTAGGTATTTTCTTAGGCTAGGTTCTCTAGAGAAGAAAAATTAGTGAAGCGTAAAACTAAAACCAAACTCACTGACATCAAGTAGTGTCTGACTCATAGTGACCCCGACTAGGTTTCCAAGGGTGTAGATCTTTATGGAAGTAGATTTCCCAGTCTTCCTTCCATGGAACAGCTGTTGGGTTTGAACTGCTGACCTTCCAGTTAGCAGTCAAGTCCCTTATCCACTACTCCACCAGAGCTCATTA